TGGGTTATCCTTAGCAACAACAGGTTAGGTTAGGTTGATTGTTCTTGTCTGGTTGTTGGGGTTTTTTTTCTTGTTTTCTTTATTTTTTTTTCTGTTTTGATTTTCTTTTTATCGAATAATCGGATAGGTGGAGCAACTAATAGAGGGATCAAAAAAAAAGGCGAATGAAGAAAAAGAAGAGGAATGTTTTATTCCATGAAAATGTGATCATTCAGAACCACTCAAGTTTTTTTATCCTTCAAAAAATTTTTATAAATTGTATTTATTGATTCTTAATTGTTGGAATGGAACAAGAAGGCGAAAAAAACACAATTGTGCGTAATGACCGGTGGCGAAGGACAGGTTTTATTGGTTAAGTTTGGACAGAAAGAAAGGAAACGTTTTAGGTATGGGGAGACTGGGAGGAAGGATGGAAGTTGTATTTCTATACCAACAACTATAGTACTTTTTACTTAGCTTCAAAAGGTGATAAGGATGGTGGCTGATAATTTGATGGATTTTTTTTAATTGTTTATTTCGCTTTGTCATTGCTATTTTTTCTTGAATTGGTTCTGCTTTCTTATGTACCTTTTTGCTTCGTTATTGACATCACCTACTCAGAGGTTATAAGATTTGATTGCTGTATTTGTTCAACGAACATTACTGACTGTTCATGAGCATTCGATATGCTATAGGGAGGCCAAAAATTAGAATTTGTAAAGATCATGATAAATTGGTTGATTTAACTGTTGAATTAATTGCCCTAGATATTTTTAAAGTATTTTCCTATTTTTTTCTATAAAAAATTGAGAAAAACAACAATAATTCTTTTTTTCTGTCATTAACACTGTATTAAAATATTTCAAACAAAGATATCCGCTTAACCAGTTCTGGGCCAAATCTCGAAATCCTTTCAAACTTTACTGATTAGTGGAATTCTGGCTCAAAATTATAAGTGAAATGGAGAAACCAGGAGAAATGGATTCTTAGCCAAGTTATGCTTAGAAAGAGTTGCAGAAACTGCTAAATTCAAGTTCAAAATGCTTACCTTCTGGACGCTTGGTTCAGATCAACCCTAACGGATTAAAGTTTTTCGTTCAGCAGATTTACTGTATTTCCTATTATTGCACAAGTTTTATATGCTTCATTTTTTCGAGCTAATGCTTTTATATGACGGGTGCAAAAATTTAGGATTGTTTGAGAGAATGCTTTTTCTAAATTTTTCAAAAGTTATATATACAATTTTGTATAGGGTTTTATGTTTTACAAAATTTAATGGTGCATCTCTACCGGAGTCTAAAGTTTTTAGGGTAGAAAGTAGTGCGTTTGCGATAAGAACCTGTTGTTTATACGGTAACCGTGTACATCTGAGAGTGGCTCTTGAAAGTCAAGGAAAACCACTACCAAAAGTGTAGCCTATTTCATTTGTTAAACATTTGTTCGAAGACTTTTTTTTATATGAAAATATTTGTAAATCATTAACATGCAAACTGTAACGGGTTTTCTCTAATCGTACGCGTTCTACGTAAGTAAGGTGCTGAACGAGGACGATCGGAAAGGAATATACCGTTGCCGAGCGCTCTACCCAATGTTTATTAAACAGAAGCATGAATATCATAAATTTTGTTTTAACAGAAATTTTCTGCAGACCTTTGGAGCAATAAGGTTCACTTTGCTGGCTTTATGGAAAAATTTAAGTTGTTGTAGTGGAGTTTCTGAGGAAATTTGTTACGTAGATGTAAAGATGTAAATATTTGAAAAGATTTTAGGAATTTATTGTCTCAGGTGTCTGGATGCTTCATGCAGTTTTATTAATTTTTGGTTTCTTTCTTTCGAGTCACCTGTGATTTGTTTATTTTCAAGAAATATGGCATAAAGTAATGGAGGAAACATGGTGATTTGAGTTTATAATTGTTCTTACAATTAAAACATTGATGATTCGGATTATTAGCGTACTTTTGGAACCTAAAAGCTTTCTTTCACATTATCGGAAAGATCGGGAAGATTTTGATGTGGCATTTCAAGCGCTGAAGTCGGAAATCTTGTTGTTACTTGCGAATCATCGTTGTAAAACCTGAACTTTATTTCGCATTCAGAATTAGTGCTGCTTGATTGTTTTTGTGAGCTGAATGCTCGTCTTCAGTCGTTTTAGTTGAGTATAAGATTTATGAAGCGGAAGGTGTTAAAGTAAATGAAATTTGTTAAAGGATCTGCGTAATTTACAATTGGCTAATATTTCCATGTAAAAGATGATTTTTCTGAAGCAATTTTTTGACGTTTGAAAGTTTGAGAATGATTCTCTTTGGCTTTCTTTTTAGAAGCAGATATTGCAGCTGACTATGATTTCAGGAGCAGCTCGACTACATTAATAACAGTGCTCTATTATCAGCTTTGCATTACTTTTCGTCGTATAAGTTTGAACTCTGCTAGTGATTTATGATGAAGGTTTGATTTGTTATGAGGACTAAAATTTCACATAAATTGTTTTTTACAATTTTACACAAGATAAAATTTGGAAGGGATTTCAAAGTCACATTTTTAGTTGTTGAATTATCGCTTTTGTAATATGTCTGCGCGTTTGCCTTTGCAAAATTGAAATATTTAATATTTGTTCAAAAGTACACTGAATTCAACCAACCAAAAACTTCTGAGTTCTGTTAATGTTGATATAAAAGTTTGGCGTGGTAGGCATACTGAGCAAAAATTGGGCAATTTTTGTAACTTTAAGCGCTCGTAACTTACCGGGGAACTCATCATTGTTCTAGGTTTTTCCTGTTTTTAAATCTACGCTGAAATTTCAATTAGAAAAGTCAAACAAAAAAAAATAGAGAAGTTTTGGATGTCAAAGAAAAAAAATATACTGTTGACAAGAAACGGTCCCATATTTGTCGCGACAGTAATACTGCTGTGAACTTTATTCGTTTTAATGGATGACAGTTTCAAATAGTTATATACAAGTTGAAAAGTATTAAAAAGTAGAAAGGTTTGTTTAAACATTCTAATTTTTAATGTTGTTCTGCTTTTTAGAAAAAGTTCTTATTTTTTGTTATTTTGTTGCTATTTTATTCTTGATTACATTTATGCTAATCGATAGGTGATTTGTTTGACAGGTTTTGTTTATCGTCTCTTGAACGATAAAATATATAGCTGATTCACAGCTCTGTTCATTCATTCAGTTAGGTTTTTCTGCGTTTAGTCACAGCACTTGATCAGTGGATTTTCTGTTACTATCTCTAGTTTAAGTTTAGTTCTTATTTCGGAGATAATAGTAAAAAATTTTAGAATTAAAAATTTTAAAGGCTGCCAAAATCTGCTAGTTGGTTAAAAATTTCTAGACGGGACAAATTATCATTTGTTTAGTTAGCATAAATAATTGTGGTTTAGCAGATAACGGTAGTGTATCAGTTTTATTGCTGATCGATAAAACAATGGATTAGTGATGATAAGGGTGAAAAGTGAATGTTTGAGTGCTAAATGTCGAATAAGAAATGACCTGAAAAACAGTTGGATTTTCTCATATTTGTGTGCATATATGTATTGATATCAGAGTATACCTAATGCACTGTTTTGATTGCCACTACGCTGCTGTGGTGTATTGTTGAATATTTGTATATGAATGGTGGTTTCAAACTGTTGCTGATGTTGATGACGATACTGTGTTATCGTTATTGCCATTATCGTAGTTGTCGGTGGCGGCAACGACGGCATACAGCGCGACATTGATGACAAAGACAGTGGTGAAGATGAAATAGGAATGTTGGTTTAAAAAATCTTTCTTCCTCCTCCCATCCAATTCCTTCCTCCTGCTGCCTGCCTACCTCTGTCCCCTTCTCTCGCTTAAAAATGAAGAGAAGGAAAAGATGAAGTGTTTTATGAGTCATGCTTTAAGCTTTGTACTTTAACTTTTTTGATCTTTGTGCATTTCTTTTCGTTTATTACTCATATCATTATACAAGTAGAATTTCATCATTTTGTAGCTAGTACACTAGTCAAATTTGAAAAAACAAAAGTAATTTACGAGTAATGACTACTGGATACTTTGATCTTATGTTGTTTTGAACAATTCTCACATCAGGATACAATCTTAACTTTCTTATTGGCTTTCTGTATTTTACGTATTATTATTACTGTTGTTGTTATTATAACTATCATTGAATTTTTTTATAATTATGGTTGTTGTTATTATCATTTTTACTGTGAAAAAATTTAAAGTTACAATCAGTAATGCTAATAGTTCAATGTTCTCAATATTGCTTGCAAAAAAAGATAAAATTAGAAAATGATTATAAACTGTTATCACTTGCAGCAGTCCGCAATCCTTATATAAAGAAATTGCTGTGCTGTTGAGGGAGTTCGATGAACGCCCATTCATGGTAAGTGGATATTTTTTTCTTATCTTAATAGTTTCACTTTTAAATCTTTTTTTACTGTACTTTAAAAAATTTCTAAAATGCGTCTTTGACATGCAGCTTTTCCGAGTAACTTCTGAACTGACGATAAGTGGTTTTTGGAATTTCTACATTTGTTAGATTTTCTTATTATGTTTGCTAATAACAAGTTGCAGGTTACGTTCTTCCTGATATACTTTTTTTTTTTTTTACAACTGTATTAGTTATGTTTTAAACAGGGGGAGGGAGGAGGGTATTTTTTGAAAAATGAATAGAATTTTTCTTCTTTTTTCTCTTTGAATTTTTACCGAAAATATGTCGTATGCGCATCTATCAATTGTAAAAGTTTCCTTTTTAATTTAAATCTGATTGCAAGTCACTAAAATCACTTATTTATTCTCACTTGTATTGCAAAAAAATTTTAGTATGTCTTTTAATAAAAGGTAAATTTGATGAAATGATGGGCTTCTAAAGCAGCAGTAATCAGGACAAATTTTCTGAGTAGAGCGATTGTTTGGTGCCGCTAAATAAATGTTAGTGAAAGGTGAAATCTTGGGCCATTTTTTCTTTTTTTTTTTTTTCAGATGAAACTTGGATAGTCATTAACCTGTTATAACACTGAATATCAACAAAATGGTAGTACCGCGATATTCGGGACCTTCATTTCTTTTTATTGGAATCGGGGTTGTTATAGGTTTCTTTGGATCGTTTTTTTTTGATTTGTCAGAATACCGGAAAAGCATAGATCTCTATGCTTTCCGTCCGATTAAAGATAATGCACACAGTCATGCAGACCCTCATTCGCATGAAGAAGTTGACGATGTTGACGGCCCAAAGAAAGCTATGCATTTTCATGAAAACGACACTAACCCACATAAAGGTCTGAGAACTTTATTTTTATGTTTGAAAATATTTAAACGAAACCATTCTCTAAAAAATGACACTGTTTTCAGGTGAAGATGAGTTAGCTCAAACAATTGCGAAAAAAGTGCGAGTTTTCTGTTGGATTCTAACAGGGAAACAAAACCACCAGAAAAGAGCTCAACACGTGAAAGCAACGTGGAGTAGGCGCTGCAATAAGTAAGTTCGTTTGATAATATTTTGACGGCTATTTTTGTTTATTAACTTTTGCCTGTTTTTGATAATCACTCTTATGTCAGGTACTTATTTATGTCGTCTGAGAAGGACGATAATTTGCCATCTGTAAATCTGAATGTTTCTGAGGGGAGGAATCACCTTTGGGCAAAGACGAAATCTGCGTTCAAATACGTGCACGATCATTATATAAATGATTACGACTGGTTTTTGAAAGCTGACGATGATACATACGTTGTAGTCGAAAACTTGAGGTATTACTTTTTTTATAAGACTATTCTAGTAAAATATGGACATATAGTGCATAATATATCTTTGTTATGAAAGTCGTTTTTTAATGATAATTTTGAGAACTGTTAGTACAAGGTTCTTCGAGAAAACAGTACGCTAGAAAATTAAATTACTTCAAACCTTCCCTTTGAGATTTCCCTGGTTTTCAATTCGCGTAATCTTTCCTTTGCGGTTCGCTTTAAAGTTTTTAATTAATTATTCCAATGCTTTATAAATGAGTCTTAGTTGCTTTAGGTATTTGCTTTTGGCTCATTCACCCGATGAGCCTATTTTCTTCGGATGTAAATTTAAACCGTTTACGAAACAGGGTTATATGAGTGGTGGAGCTGGTTATGTTTTGTCGAGAAGTGCGGTCAAAAAGTTTGTTAATGAAGGTTTAACTGTAAGTTTTCCATATATTAGATTCAGACAAACTTGAGGCTTTAGTAATGTCTTCAATGGCTCTCTTTATAGAATCCATCAAAGTGCTCTAGGAAAGAGGGCGGTGCGGAAGACGCAGAAATGGGGAAGTGTTTGGAAAAGATTGGCGTTAAAGCTGGAGATTCTAGAGACTCTGACGGACATCACAGGTGAAAATCTGATCTTTCATATCTTCGATGAAGTTCACAAAACATGTCAATAAAAATGAGTGGTTTACTTAATAGGTTTATGCCATTTGTTCCTGAACATCATTTGGTAGAAGGTCATATTGATCCATCTTTCTGGTTTTGGAGCTACACTTATTACCCATTTGATCAGGTAGGGTAATTATTAGTGTATTGTTCTAGATTCTTTTTGGGCTGTCACAGAGCTCGCTTACCTTCGGATTTTGTTAGTACTTTGCAGATATTTTTAAGTCTCGTTATTATATACAATTTATTATTACTATAGGGTCCATAGTTTTCAATTTGATATGTTTTTAGTTTTTTGAAATTCTTCAGCGTACTTTTTCTACTAACTTTCGTTATTTCAATATAATAATTTTTTTTACAACAAATTTTTGGATAATAGATAAATTTAGGGCCCAAACTGTTGCAGTGACTACGCTGTTTCATTTCACTACGTTAATCCTCAGCTTATGTATGTCTTAGAATATCTCATATACCATCTGAAACCTTTCGGTAAGTTTTATTATCGGAAAATAGAGAGAGGATCTCGCTAACCGTTTGGAAGTTTTAGTACTGTTTGAGGGTTGTTATTCTTTTCTGTCTTCTTTTCAAGGAGGGGCTAAATTTTATTTTTTATACTCTTTCTTGAAAAGAATTATCAGTTTTTATTCCTGATATCAAACGTATAACAAACTTTGAGGGCAGTAAGCTTGGGAGTCATTCAAAGTGTATAAAAACCTGAATGTTCCTCTGTACGTGAATGTTCAGCAATTGTGATTAAGAGGGTTAACAGTGATACGTTTTTTGCGCTAATAAAGGATAAGAGCAGTTAATTGGAAGATGCTACAATCTTTTAAGTTCTTCTCAAAAACCTGCTTTTGTAGAATTTAGTTTTTTTTTTAATCTGTTTAATCTATTTATTCCTCGAGTCTTATTAGTCAGTGATGAATAAATGGGCGAGTTAGGAAAAGGTCGCATCTATTCAATCCTGTTACTGGTTATTGATTCAGTGGTATTGGTCGTTGGGAGTGACAGAGAGCATTTAGAATGTCCAGTTTGTTGAAATTTTCTTTAGTTTCTCCATTCTATTTTCTTTAAAAGCCTCGCCCTCAAAAGTTACTTTCTGTTTAGTTACTGGAAAGAGAAATTCCATAATTCTTTGGGTTTACAAGACTATTTTTTACAGTTGTTTTTGCTTCCTACAATAACCTTAAACTTAGACTTTTATAGTATTCAACCAACTACAGCAGCTTTGTTCGTAAATTTTATCTGGACTCCTGATGGGAGGTTTTGTTTAATAATCTGTTAGAGAACAACAGGCGTTATATGCTTTTTTTTAAGACTTAAAAAATTTTGAATTGTATGAATGTTTCATTTGCTTAGATATCAGTCTTTTAGCAAATTTGCTGGCAGATACTAAAGGATTTCTCTTTTTTAACAGAACATATCTCAGAATACTAAGGAACATGGATTTACTTTTTTTGAAGTGGGTAAAATTTGAGGATTTGGCTTTTAAATACTTTTCTTGTAAGATACGATTAAGTTCATGATAGGTGCTGTTACTTTTTTATCACTTTAATTACCCATCAATTTTTTTATGGTATGTGATTTCCTCTGAAATCTTTTCTCGTTGTTATTCTTGTAAACAAATACTAGTCAGTATTAAATTTGATATTTTTGATGCATTACTCAGCGTACTCAACGATATTATACTCAGACTTCATCTCCATCATTTTCTGTTCATTTGCAAAAAAAAAAAAAGTTTTGATGCTGCTTAAGTTCAGTTGTTTTCTTTTCCAGGTATCCTAAAGCAACTGGATATGTCTCACGCAAAATGTCCATTGGAAGGTGCGTATAAAATGGCACTTCTTAATATGGGGTCTGATGATGTGTACAGAAATAGGACGGAAAATGAAGCTGAAAATTTATGTGTGAACACGGTTTAACTGTTATTCCATATATTTTCGTTGAGTTATACCGCAGTAAGACTTATGGATACGATATATACGGAAGTCAACAGCGTCGTTACCGAGACGGTTGGACTGCCTAATTCATTGATTGCAGGACTTAGAAGTTTAGTAGAAGCTGAGATGCAGCAAGTCTTACTAGATTTACATTGTTTAGCTTTGTTTACTTGTTACAGTCAAGTAATTATGTAAAAGGTGAAGTCTTTCAGGAGTCTTATTCGGGTTGCAGTCTTCAAGTTAAAAATTGCTTTAATTATTTAACACGCTAGATGTATATTTCTGTCTTTTTGTTTGTATATATTACGGGGTAATCTAAACTTTTCTAAGCTTTTTTTATTTGCCTTACTGACTTGCTTGCCGTCTTATCTAATCAATTTTTTTTTAGATTTATGTTTTCCACAAGTGATAGGCCAATCTTGTGAATCTAATTTTGTTAGCTGTCTTTTCTATTTTTTTATTTCTTTGCTAAATTTTCATAAAAAATTTCACTCCTTTCTTTTTACTGCTTCATTTTTGTTTTTCACTTTAATTTTTCGGTCACAATTTGTTCAAAGAATCACCTTTTATTTCTATTTATTTATTTTTTTTTTTTGATACTTGCTGATCGAGGATGGCAGTATTTTGCTTTGTTTTTTAATTTTTATGATTTTATTTCCGGCCACCAATTTTTCTTTGTGAGGTAGTCAAGCTTGTTAATAATTTTTTTTTGACGAGAAAGAAGAGATTTGTTTTTACGTTTGGTTCATTTTTTGACGGCGGTGAATTGTCTTCCTTTTCGTACAGTACTAAGAGTACTATCAAATTTATCTCTCTTTTTGTTTAACACTCGACTAACGGTATGTTGACGACCAAACGTTTATTTTATTGAAAGACGTGTTTTTAGCATTTTTGGAAACGCAAAGCTTCGTAATGTGTAACAGTGTAGTCCGATGAGGCTAGCCTTTAGGTTCTAGCGATCAGATGTTAGAATTTTTTGATTTCTAATTGATTTGGCTTAAAGTACATAAAGGTGTGAAGGTTTCTCTGTCAAGATGTATACTGTCAATTGTTTCTTTCCTTCTCGCTAGTGTACAGTTGGTTTCACGGTGTTACAGAGTTTACAGAGTAACTAGTCCGGGGTTGTTAGTATTTTTTTCTTTTGTTTTTTTTTTTAGCTTTTGTTTCATTTTTATGTGCCATCTTTAAGCTCATTCAATCTTCTTTATATGTGGTAAATGATCGTCGTATGAATTTTTATTGTATTAGTCATCGTACAGCTGTTTTGATTAGTTTGATTCAAGTGTTTTGTTGTTTTGTTACCTTGATTTTGTTTGTTGTGACAAGAAATATTGTTTTGGCTGTAGGCTTTGATTTGTATACGTGTGTGCCAGTGGCATTTTCAATGTATTGATGGCAAAAAAAAAAACTTATTTTGAAAAAGTTGATAAACAAATTGATTACTGCTGGTCTGTTGCTTAAATTTTTTCAACAAACCTTTGTTTACCCGAGTTTGAGATGTACCTAATTTTTTTTAATGGTATTTGTACTATCCCCCGAATGATTCTGAGAAGAGTATTTTTGGTGTTACGCAGTAAAAGAAGTTTGTATTGGTACTTAGTCGTTTACGGATACAACCAATGATGTTCAGTATTTAAATGAGTGACTATAATGGAATTAATTGAAGTTGTTTATTATGCAAATTGGTCGCAGATAAAAATGTATTCAATGGCGATATAGGATGAGCAGTTGAAGTTTCATTGGTTTTTATTCTTTGTTGTTCTAATTAAATGCACATGCTTTAAGATAGACATTACAATGATGGGAGTGTAAAGTGCTCGAGTAGTGTATCGTAAATTTTGGAAGGTGTAAGGCTGATGGTGATGCAAGCGAACGGTTTGGTGACGGTGTGTGAAGAGCTCATGAACATCAGCTTTTCGTTGTTGACGTGTTGATGGTGATGAAGACTGCTAAGAGCTGTTCATTTGGTTGTTGTTGGTGACGTATAATGAATGCTAAAAGCATTGAATTCCTTATAATTAAACGATTTTAAGATTGACAAATTGAAAGCATTGGCAGCGGTTGAGAAAACTTCAAAATTGAGGAAGGGGAATCAAAATTGATGGCACACTTTAAATAGTAAAAAGGGACTGATTGGTTAAAGAAAACGTGAGGATAATATCGACTGCAGGTGGTTTTCTGCTATAGTTTCGATGTTATAAATGCAAAAATGTCCTAAAGAGAAGTGAAACAAGAGAAGAAAATTGGCTCAAAAAACTGAAAAATAAATTCTAGTATTGAAAAAAGCATTTAAATAAGTAAAGCTTTATTGAATTAGTGATCTATATATTGTGATGATGGTTAAGAAGAGCATTTGGTATTGTTTTAGTCATTTTTCTTGGTTTATTTTTCCCCAAGTACAACGAATGAGAGACCAACAGTTGAGGTTTATCAAGCGAAGTTGTCGCTGAGGAGTTGTTGATAGGAATATTTCAAGTTTACGGAAGCAAAAATGACTGTTTGGTGAAATTGGTCGTTTTTACTAACATTTCTGCAGTTGTTGTTACGGCTACAAAAAATTCTTTTTCCTTTTTTTGTGCTAATTTACAGCAGCAAATTTTATGACCAATTGAATGACAGTTTCACAACAGTCATAGTTTTTTGAGACACTGTCAACTGGTAGAATAGCTCAGTATAGTGCAGCAAAGTTTCAATCATTCAAACTTTTTTAATTTACTTTAAAAAAAATGCATTTTTTTTTTTGTTGAATTATTTCTTGCTAATAACAATTGCTTTGTAAAAATATAATTATCGTAATAATTTTTAATGATCAGTATCATACTGATTTATATTTTCATTTATAGTTTTTATGTCTGTTAAGTGTACTTTGATATTTTGAGACTGACAGAGATCTGTTCAATTTTCCGCCATAGCAACTGATGGCCAAAGCATTAGGCATTGATATCGGTACTACAAGCATAAAGATATGTCTCATTGGAAATGACCAGAAGTAACCTGTCATAGTTATTTTTTTTCCCTTATGATATAAACAATTTTTACATATTTAAGATACTTACAAACAGTATTTTTTTGTTCTATAAAGTTTATGAAAAAAAGAAAAACGAAAAAGATTATCAATTGGTTCATTGATTTTATTGCTAAAAAATTATTGCTGATATTGTCGGTACTTAGTAGTTGGTAATATTTAGATATACATTTGATAATTCTTTTTAGTTGGAAGGATTATTCTTCTGAGCTATTTTTATCAGTTTTTTTTTTTTTGCTCAGAATATTGGAATCTATTAGCCAACAACATAAGGCTGCAGTTGTTAACGCAGATAGAAGCCGAAATGAACAAAATGTGGAAAAAATTTTTACAACAATCCAGCAACTGCTTTTTTCTCTTGGAACAGCGCTTAGCACCGTGGAAACGGTTTGTGTTTCTGGCCAAATGCATGGAATTGTTCTGTGGAATGGAGCGGCACTTTTACAAGGTTATAATCAATTTCTTTTTTTTTTTTTTGTCGAAAAAAGGAGCGCAGTTTTTATTTTAAAAAATAATAATAATTAATATGACTAATACTGATCTCATTGTTGCTGCCAAAAAGATTTACAAAATAATTACTGTATATTTTAGGTAAATTTTATTGTTCGCCTTTGATAACCTGGATGGATACAAGAGCTTCAACTGAATTCATCGATAGTTTACCAAAGTTAGATTTTTTTTTGGTTTAAGCTTTTTTAATTTATTACTGAATTATTACCCTAAGCGCTGGTGGATCAGTAGAATAATTTAAAGTTTAATATTAGTATGAAAACAAGCAAAATGTTTGTTGTTTGATTACTTCAACTTGATTTTTAAGTGTTAAACTGATCTTTCTTTAGTGTATTTTGACTTCTCCGGTTTTTATTTGTGATGATTTTGAATTTTTCGGGAGTAAAGAATACGACTTACATCCTGGTTATGGAACTGTTTCTTTGGCATGGTTACATAAGTTTGGACAAATCGATAAACAATGGGATTGCTGCGGAACAGTTATGGATATGTTTAATTGTTATTTGGGAAACCTTCGGAAACCACTAATGGGTATTCAGAACGCTTTTAGTTGGGGCTACTGTACGTTGGATGGTCAGTGGACAGCTCCTGTAAACTTTGTCATATGTTTCTTAGTTTCTGTTTGACGACAAGATTATGTTTTCTTCATTGGGTTAAACAAAGTATGATTATTACTAGCAGACAGAAATTTTTAAGGAATCTGTATTGCCATTATATTTGTTACCTGAAGTCGTTGATAGCAGTAAAGTGATAGGCGAAGTGCAAAATGCCAATTTTGCAATTCCCCTGGGAGTAAAACTGTTTGCTTCACTAGGTGATCTTCAGAGTACTGTATATCTGCTTCTCCACAAGGATACTCATATCAAATGTAATTTTATTGCTGTATTCCTTTTCTGCTAATAATGATGATATATTCTCTGAGGTTGATACCAACGGTACACTTAGACCAATTTACTTCAACATACGTTATCACTTCAAATTGCAGCTGCATTTTTAAGCCTGGGAACTTCGGCTCAATTGGGATGTATTGAACGAAAAGCTACATCACACCCGTTACTAACTGTACCATTTTTTGATGGAGATTGTTTAGTTGTTGCTGCTTCAATGAATGGAGGAAATGTGCTAGAATTTCTTGCAAATGTTAGTATTTTAGAATCAGTTTAGTTTAATTGAATGAATAAGCAAAACTTTTATATTTTACTCCAGAAGAATAAAATTTTAACGCTTTATTGAGAAAAAGAAATAGAATTTTAGAAAATTTTGGACTGGGCATCGACACTAACTTCTCGTACTGATCTTCAAGTGGATTTGAATTGCTTTGAAAGAATCTTGCAGCAACCGTATAAGCCATCGTCTCTAAGAGTCAGTCCAACATTTTTCAGAGAAAGAAGTCAAGATATTCCGTCACTGATAAGTGGTTTGTGCGATGAGACCAATTTAACAAGTGTGAGTTTTTTAAGTTTAAGAAAAATTCTTTGATAATGTAACGTTAGAAATTCAATCAATTTTATCACGAGAAATTTTTTATTTATTTCAGCTGTTTCAAGAGTCATGTATCGGAGTTATACGGAACTTAACCCGAATGTTTCCACCTGACTTGCTGCGTGAATTTGGGGTTTCTCGTTTAGTTCTGGCCGGTAATGCTAGTCAACAGTGTTATATGACAGCTATTAAAGAAAGTTTTGATGGTTTCGATATTGTCACGGGATGCGATGATGTGTTGTTTTCGGCTTCTTATGGTGCTGCACTTTTTGCAGCAAAACAGTGGAAGAAATTACGAGATTTTAAATAAAAGGCAAAAAAGTTTGTTTTTGTTGTTGGGTCTTTAACTCGAAGAATTTCTTGTGTTTAGAGATGAGTAAACTTTATTGCACCGAACATCGGTTGATTACCGAAAGTTTTAGGGAATTATAGCATTTATGTTCTGTTCATGGTTGAATAACTGGTGGTTAAGTTCTGGTAGTTCAATACCGCTGGGTTAATAAGTTTATTGTTCCTTTTTAGAGGTTTACGAGCGAAGGGAATACTATAATCTTCATTTTATATGTTACTGAAGTCGTAAGTGAAAGGTACTATTTAATAAGTGTTTCAGCGACTTAACTGTGTTGTATTACAAAATATTGCAGTTGTTACCTGTGCTGTTGAACAATTTAATTTGGTTGGTTGACCTAAAGATCGCTATCTCAATCGATGCTCCAAGTCCTTGGGTGTGAATTTACGGGGAAAAAAATTTTTTTCTTTGAAATAATTTTTGGGCTTATATCCTTTACTCTTATCCACTTAGTCTTCATTTTTTTGTTGTCTTTATCAGTTTACTTTTGCAACTTTAGAGAATTGATTGATGAAAATTTTCTATTGTTTTATGCAGAGGATTGAGGACAAAAGTTCACTTGTAATTCTCTATCATTGACAACCAAATAGTTGCACCGGATTCTGATGAAAGTGATTGGAATCTTCACTTATCAGTCATCGATTAAAATTTATACAAACATAAAGATGACTTTATTTGACACCTCAAAATTGACACTAAATAAATTTACAAATAATTACTGTAATTGGAAAAGATGATTTTATGTATCTGTTTAAGTGACTGACTGACTAACAAACACTTGGATTTTGTTTTTAAGAAGCCAATTATATTTACATATCAATAAACATTGAAAATCTTTTAGTAAATTGATTTTAATTTTCTTTCCTCTTCTTTTTTTTTTCGTGAAATATCAATTTAAATAATTTTTATCGGCAAACTGATAAATGTTTTCAGTTATGTCTATATTGTTGCAAAAATTTTTGTTGTTGTCGCTGTGTGTTGTTGTGATTATTATTAAAAATGTTTGAAAGAATAAAATTGATGATGTTTACTTGTTGAGAAACACTAAAAATTAGTTGCCGTTATGCATATGTATCTGTTGTTTGGTATTTATATGTTATAAATATGTTGCTTTTGTATTCACATCGTCGTTGGTCGTTGTCGTTGTCGTTGACACCGTCAAATACACATGTTTAGTATCCGTGGTGTATCTTCTGTTGGTTATGTTCACTGATTTTTTGTTTTTTAATTTTCTTTTTAAATACTTTACTGATTTGTCGATAAACAGGAAAAAGTGAAGAATGAGTGGATGAAAAAAATTAAAAAAAAAAAAGCAAATGCTCAAATTTGATTGAGTGAATTTGGTGAAGAAAAAGGAAAAGTATAAAGGATTAGTTTTTTATGCCTTATATTTCCTTTACCTAAGATACTGAATACTTTTTTACGTTATAAATTTTGCATTACAGAAAAAAATCTGCTGATAGCATTTTTAATTATTGGTCATTTTATTCAACTTTGTTGAGTGTTTTTTTGTTTGCTGAAGACTAAAAGAGAAAACAGAAGATTGAAGGAGGATAATGGTTGAGAATGCAGAATCTGACTGAAACCACATGAGGTGATAACGACGATGGTGTGTCTGTCTGTTCAGTTTCTTCAGATGTATTTATTTTTGTATAGCCGAAGATAGGAAAATTTAGGTCATTATTTCATTGATATCTTTGAAGGGGAAAAAAGAAGAGCTTTTTTTTTTTTACTGTTTCATTTCAACCATTTGTTTTTTTAGTAAAAGTGATGAAAAAAGAATTTCTTTTTTTTTTGTGTGTATGTTTACTTAATAAAAAAACAATAATTTTGATAACAACAAATCAACAAAATGGAACGACAATAAAAAAGGAAAGAAAGCTAAAATAATTTGGAAGAAGTTGACAATCAAAAGTGTTAGGAAAGGGTAATGTTTAATAACTGTTTTGGTTGTTGAAACTTATTGATCACTTAAAAAAAAAATTACTCCTCTCTTTTCCTTCTCTCCTTTTTCTCGGGAAAAAAAAATGGCGTTGATATTTGTAAGAAGAACTGTTAT